CTTCGTGAGTGGTAAACTGCGCGTCAGCGCGGTGGGGGTACGGATCCCTGCACCTACGTTCTCCGCACCGGCGACCGCGCTGGTGAGCAGTGCGGGGGCTCGCACTCCACCCAGCGCTGCTTCGGCCGCCTGACGGACGCGTGGAGTCACCAGTTTCTTGAGGCCTCTGAGATCCCTCGCTGGGGAGAGCTGTCTAGGGCGGGGGTTACTATATTTGATCTTGATTTTGATGCTATTCTTGCTGCCATGTATGCTGTTGGTGATAGTGTTGAGGGTGACTGTTACCTGTGTGTTCCGCCTGACCCGGGCATTGAGCCTACTGCTGTAGGTGCTGGTGAGGCTGCTGCTCTAGGTGCTAGCGCGTCTGCTGCCCCAGGTGCTGGTGAGTCTGCCCTCTCAGGTACCACGTCGGCTCAGGCCTTACACACCTTCACCCTTGACTCAGGTGCTTCCCTCTCCTTCTTTCGAGACTGCACCACACTTACGCCGCTTAGTCGGCCGGTTGCGGTCTCCCTGGTGGACCCCTCTTGGGGTCCTCTCCTTGCTCGCTTCTCCACTGACTTACCGTGTCCGGCAACCCCCTCTGGCATCCCCCTCTGGCACCCTGTCAGGTCTCTACCTCCCCTCGTTCTCTACAAACTTGGTGAGTGGAGCTGATCTAGAGGATAGGGGGGTTGACCAGTTCACTCCTTCGAGTCAGCGGGAGACCCACGGCACGTGTCCTCGGACAGGCCGACACTTGGCCACGTTCACCCATCGGCCAGGGTCGAGCCTGTACACCCTCACTACTGAGTCTCCTCCGGCTGCTGAGCCTGGTCAGGTCGCTGCGTCGAGTCAGGTATTTGTTGCAGCGTCTAGGTCTGGTCCTGAGTCTGCTCCCTGCTCGTGTCGTCTCCTGTCTCACCAGACTCTCCTTTGGCACCACCGCCTTGGTTACCCCTCTCTGCCTCGTCTTCCAGGCATGGCCTCCCGTGTCCTTGTCTCTGATCTCCCCCGGTCTCTCCCTCCCCTACCTCCGTGGTCTGCCCCTACCTGCGCCCTTTGCATCGAGGGGCGACAGCGCGCCGCCCCTCACTCCTCCGAGTTTCTTCCGACATAGGCTCTATTGCAGACTCTTCACATGGACGTGTGGGGCCCCGCCCGCATCCGTGGTTTGGGGCACGAGCGATACTTCCTGTTGGTGGTTGACGACTTCTCGCGTTACACCACGATCTTCCCCTTGCGCAGCAAGGGTGAAGTTACTGAGGTGTTGATCGACAGGATCCGCGCAGCTCGTCTCCAGCTCAGAGATAGTTTCGGCTCGGATGTCCTGTTCTGCGTCTTTACTCTGACAGAGGTGGGGAGTTTTCCTCTGCCCGTCTGGGAGCCTTTTGTCGTGCACAGGGCATCCGCCAGACCTTCACGCTTCCGGCCTCTCCACAGCAAAATGGGATTGCTGAGCGCCGCATTGGTATGGTCATGGATGTCGCTCGTACGTCCATGATCCATGCGGCTGCCCCCCATTTTTTGTGGCCGTTTGCAGTTCAGTACGCGGCGCATCAGCTCAACCTTCAGCCCCGGGTCTCCTTGCCAGAGACCTCCCCCACCTTGCGGTGGACCGGGAAGGTTGGCGATGCGTCTGCGTTTCGGGTCTGGGGATCTCGGGCGTTTGTCCGCGACTTGTCTGCGGACAAGCTGTCTCCCGGTGCTGTTCCCTGCGTCTTCCTTGGCTTCCCCCCTGACGCGCATGGTTGGCAGTTTTACCACCCCACCTCGCGCCGTGTTCTGTCCTCCTAGGACGTCACCTTCAACGAGTCGGTGCCTTACTACCGTCTCTTCCCCTACCGCGCTGCGCCCCTCCCCCCGCTACTGCTCTTCCTTATGCCAGGTCCTCCCCCGGTAGACCCCCTCCCCACTCAAGGTCCTGCCCCGTCAGGTGTGTCCCAGGTAAACGCAGTCGAGCCTATCGAGGTAGCTGTTGACTCTGGTGCTGCTAGAGGTGCTGAGCCTGCGGGTGCCGGGTCTGGAGGTGTTGAGCCTGCGGGTGCTGAGTCTGGGGGTGCTGAGCCTACGGGTACTGAGCCTGGGGGTGGTGAGCCTGTCGGTGCTGAGTCTGGAGGTGCGGAGCCTGGGGGTGCGGAGCCTAGGGGCGCTGGGTCTGCTCGTGTGACCATCGGCGGTGCTTCGTCGAGGCGGGAGCCACTCTATCCGCAAGAGCTGCGAGAGTGGTTTGCCCGGCGCTGGAGACATGCTGCTGGAGCTAGAAGCACTACTGTTGCTGCTGGTTCCAGAGGTGCTTGTACTGGCGGTGCTGGAGCTGATGGGCCTGGGGGTGCTGCTGGGGCTACTGGAGTTGGTCCTACTAGAGCTGCTTGCGGTACTGGAGCTGCCGGTCCTGCTGGAGTTGGTGCTGCTGGAGCTGCTGGAGCTGGAACTGCTGGGGGTGTTGGTGCTGGTGGTTCTGCTGGCGCTGGTGCGTCTGAGGGTGCTAGAGTTGGCGCTCCTGGAGCTTGAGGTGCTGCTGGCGCTGGTGCTGCCGCTGGGGGTACTGGTGCTGTCCCTGCTAGTTCTAGAGGGGCTGCGCGGCCGCGGCCATACTTCGTTCCGCTCCTTGAGCAGGTTCTTGGTCTCCTGCCTTCTATTGGTCCTGCTCCTCCCTTAGAATGTCCACAGCCTGTCCAGTCGCAGTCTCAGTTACAGCCCGCCTCCCCTCTACCTGCTCCTTCTCCCTACACTGGTCCTACTGGAGGTCTTGGTGAGCGTCGTGAGCCTGCGCCTCGTCCTGCGTCGCCTGTTCGTACTCCTCGCGCTAGTCGTCGTGCTCCGCATCCTCCTGCGGTCCCAGGCACACACCTGATGGCACTGTGTCCTTCCACTACTCCTATGCATGTCCCGTTGCCGTCTCCTCCAGAGTCCTCTCTTCCTGTCCTTGCTGACCCGGAGTCTGACTCTCTTCGTGCTGCCAGTCCTACTGTCACGCGTCTCCTGGCTACTGTTGTCTCCGACCCTTTCTTTGAGTCCACTGCTGCGTCTGCCTTAGTGGCTTAGCTTGTCGTCTTCGCTGCTGGCTATCGTCTAGACTACGCCACTAGTCTTGTTGCTGAGTCTGAGTCTCTCTGTCCTCCGTCCGTCGGGGGTGGGTGTGCTCTTAGCAAGGACGTCCTTGAGGACAGGCAGGAGGAGTTCCAATGTTTTTCTGCTGCTTTGCCTCATCTCGTGTCCACGCTGATTGCCCCTGAGGGAGACCCGGATGCACCAGACATCCCGACTCCTCGATCGTACACTGAGGCAATCGAGGGTCCCTACTCCTCTCAGTGGCAGTCAGCCATGGACGCAAAGATGGCTTCCTGGAAGTCCACAGGCACCTACGCCGACGAGGTTCCCCCACCTGGGGCGAACATCGTCAGTGGCATGTGGATTTTCTGGGTGAAGCGGCCGCCGGGTTCTCCGCCTGTCTTCAAGGCGCGTTATGTAGCTTGAGGCTTCAGTCAGCGACAGGGAGCTGACTACTTTCAGACCTTCTCTCCCACCCCGAAGATGACCACTCTTCGGGTGCTGCTGCACATAGCCGCTCAGCGCGACTACGAGCTTCACTCTCTTGACCTCAGCACAGCTTTCCTGCAGGGCAGCCTGCACGAGGAGATCTGGCTGCGCCGCCCACCTGGCTTCACTAGGTTGTTTCCTCCTGGTACCTAGTCGAGCCTCCGGTGGCCAGTCTACAGTCTCCGCCAGGCACCACGTGAGTGGCACGACACACTGAGAACTACACTTGCGGCTCTTGGGTTTGCTCCGTCGACTGCTGACCCGTCGCTGTTTCTGCGCACCGACACGTCGCTGCCGCTGTTCTACATCCTCGTGTACGTCGACGACTTGGTCTTTGCCACTGTTGACACTGATGCTCTCGCCCACGTGAAGTCGGAGCTGCAGAAGAGACACACGTGCACAGACCAGGGTGAGCTGACAAGCTATTTTGACTTGCGGATCACCCGCGACAGAGCACGCCACACCATCAAACTGACTCAGTCACACATGGTGCAGCAGGTCCTTCAGCGCTTTGGCTCCACGTACTCCTCGCCTCAGGCCAGTCCTCTGTCTACTCACCAGTCCCTCTCAGCTCTGCCTTCGGATGAGTCCGTAGAGTCGAGTGGCCCGTACCCAGAGCTTGTTGGCTGCCTCATGTACCTGATCACCTGCACACGACCTGACCTTGCATACCCTCTTAGCATCTTGGCAAGCTATGTTGCTCCTGGGAGACACCGACCAGAGCACATGGCTGCAGCGAAGAGGGTGTTGCGCTACGTGTGCAGTACGTCAGGACTGGGGCTAGTGATTGGAGGGCAACGTCGAGTGGTCCTCACACGTCGCGCTGACGCTTCTTGGGCTAACTACCAGCCGACGCTGCGGTCGTCACAGGGTTACACCTTCAGCCTTGGCTCCGGCTCTGTTTCGTGGCGGTGTGCCCGCTCGTCTTGTGTTCTCAGCTCCAGTTGTGAGGCTGAGATCTACGCAGGGGCCATGGCTGCACAGGAGCTACGCTGGCTCACCTACCTGCTGACTGACCTAGGAGAGCCGCCTCGTTCTCCTCCAGTTCTGTACGTAGACAACAAGGCCATGCTGGCCTTGTGTCGGGAGCACAGACTGGAGCACAGAACGAAGCAGATTGCTCTTCGCTACTTCCTGGCTCGTGAGCTGCAGCAGCGTGGTCAGCTCTGCCTCACCTACGTGGCCTCTGAGGCCAACACTGCTGATATCTTCACCGAGGCCCTTCCGCCTTGTGATCATCAGCGCTTCTGTGCTATGCTAGGTCTTGTGCCTACTTGGCCTCACTTGCTCACTTCTTGATCTTGTTTGTACTATACTTTTTCTATACCTACACTTGCTTGTTTACCTTTATATATATGATCTTGCATGTGAAATGGCCTTGTGGCCTTGCTCTTGTGCTCGGACTGTGTGGTGACGTTGTGATCCTCCGCCGCCGCCGCCGACTCCGCCGCCTCCTCCACCTCCGCCTCCTCCGCTACCTACGCCGCCTCCGCTCCCTCCGCCACCTCCACCGCCTCCACCGCCTCCACTGCTGCCGCCGCTGCCGCCACCCCCGGCACCACTCCCACAACCACCCCCACTCCCTCCACTGCCTCCACCACCACCTCCACCGCCCCCTCCAGCCCCTCCAACGCCCTTGCCCCCCTTGCCCTTGCTTGTGTGGCGTCTCCCGCTCGGGGCAGACGCAGCGCCGACCGACTCGAAACCAACGAGGTCGGCCGCAGCAGCAGAGGCAACAGAGGGCAAGAGGGGGGAGGGAGAACACCCCTCAAAGACGGGGGTGCGAGGGTCACCACGAGAGGCTCCTACAGCGACTATGCTCTTCTCTGCCGCTAGGAGGGCCTTCTCGAGGAGGTCAACGGTGAGAGTGGTGGGGCAAACTGAGAGGAATTGGCCCTTGACTACGCGGAGAGAGTCAGGGAGCCGGGTGACTATGTAGTAGAGGGTGATGTACATGGGGGGGGGGTTCTTGGCGCAGAACTCAGCAGGAAGCGCAGCGCGGTAGCGAGTGTCACTAGTGCAGAGGTGCGTAATGAGGTCAGCGACTGTGGGAAAGGCAGCAAGGTCAGGGAAGGGGTACGGTAGCATGAGGGGGCTCAGTGAAGCAGTGGCAGGGGAAGAGTAGCGTGCAACTACAGCGTCGTACAAGGTCTGAGCACTCTTGTACTGGCTATTGTGTGCATGCTCAGTGGTCGGTAAGTGGCGGCGCACAGCAAGGCGAGCAGCAGCATCGCGCGTGGCCCACTGTGAGCGAACAGTGGCGTCAGCATCAGCAGTAGGGGCAGGAGAGGCACTAGAAGTGAGGTCAAACAGGGAGAGGCCGTTTGTCCTATTGCACTAGAGAAACAGCTGAAGGTCATCGACCGAGACCTCAAAGTCAACGGCATGACCCTCAGCATCAAAAGTGAGGACACTGGGGGCAGCCATGACTGCAGTGGCCTAGGAGGAAGTGAGCTCACCAGTCCGAGGAAGGAGGGGCCGGGGAGCTTCGGTAGGTACACCAGCTGCTAGACAGTAGGGCGGCTCGGCGGCTCGGCGGCAAGGCGGCTCGGCTGCAGGGCGACTCGGCTGCTGGGCGGCTTAGCTGCTGGGCGGCACGGCTGCTGGGCGGCTCGGCTGCTCGGCGACTTGGCTGCGGGGCGGCTCGGCTGCTGGGCGGCTCTGCTGCTCGGCGACTTGGCTGCTCGGCTCGGCTGCGGGGCGGCTCGGCTGCTGGGCGGCTCGGCTGCTCGGTAGGCGGGCGGCTCGGCTGCTGTGCTGCTGGGCGGCTCGGTCGCTGGGCGGCGGAGCGGTGATGGGGCCGCTAGGGTAGGGCGACGGGGCCGCGGGTGACGGCGAGGGCCGCAGGTGGCGGCGGGGCCGTAGAGGGGCCGAGACGGGGCCGAAAGGGGGCCTAAGTGGGGCCGAAAGGGGCCTAGACGGGGCCGAAAGGGGCCTAGACGGGGCCGAAAGGGGCTAGACGGGGCCGCGGAGGGGTCTAGACGGGGCCGCAAGGGGCCTAGACGGGGCCGCGGAGGGGCCGTAAGGGGCCTAGGCGGGGCCGTAAGGGCGGCGCGAGGGGCCTTAGAGGGCGACGCGAGGGGCCGTAAGGGCGGCGCGAGGGGCCTTAGAGGGCGGCACGAGGGGCCGTAAGGGCGGTCAAAGGGGCCGCTAAGGGCGGCTCGAGGGTAGGTAGGGCACACGAAACGCGACTCGGGTAGGAGTGAAGCGCTCTCCAGGCAGGAAAAAAAAATCGTGGTGGGCCCTAGGCAGCATTCCCATTCGGGAACCTGCTCGATACCATGATGAGAAACGAGAATGATTGAACTATGAAAGAGTTGGGTACAAGTACTAACCCTAATTGGGTTGTACCCCTTATGGGCTACCCCACTACAGCCTACATAAATGTATAAGCTATAATGTTGTGACACACCTCCATAGGCAAAGTTGGGGAGAAGAAGTGGTCACAAGACCAGTCAAGCAAAGCAAAGCAAGCTCAGGGTGGATCACAAAGTCACCGCAGTGCAGATCACTCGGGACAGAGCACAGCGCACCATTACCCTGACTCAGTCAAACATGGTGCGGCAGGTCCTTCAGCGCTTCGGCTTCACGTACTCCTTGCCTCAAGCCACTCCTCTGTCTACTCACCACTCGCTCTCAGCTCTGCCTTCGGATGAGTCCGTAGAGTCGACTGGCACGTACCCAGAGCTTATTGGCTGCCTCATGTACTTGATGACCTGCACACGACCTGACCTTGCATACCCTCTTAGCATCTTGGCACGCTATGTTGCTCCTGGGAGACACCGACCAGAGCACATGGCTGCAGCCAAGAGGGTGTTGCGCTACGTGTGTAGTACGTCACGCATGGGGCTAGTGCTTGGAGGGCGACGTCGAGTGGTCCTCACAGGTCACGGAGACGCTTCTTGGGGTAGAAAAAACGCGACAGCAACTGCAGCGGTATTACTACTGGCCGGAGCTGTTGACCGACGTACAGCAGCACGTGGGCTCGTGCCCCACGTGTCAGATGATGAAAAGCTCGAGGAAGCGGAAGGCGGGTCAATCTCAGCCGAGTAGACCGCTCGTCTGTTCATCGTCGCCGTTGTTCGCCTGCACGGGATACCAGCAGTGATTATCAGCGACAGGGACACAAAGTTCACCAGCAACTTCTGGAAGAACCTCTGGGAGCAGTTCGGGACCAGGCTACAGTTCAGTTCGTCGTATCACCCCGAGACCGACGGTCAAACGGAGTGGACGAATCAGACGATGGAGCAGTTGATTCGTGCCAGGTGCGACGACCCTACGACTTGGGAGCAGCAGCTGCCGCTGATCGAGTTCGCGTACAACAATGCCACGTCAGCGACGACGCAGCAGTCCCCCTTCTACCTGAACTACGGGCAAAACCCTACAGTGCCCATGACGCCAAGTCCGGACAACCCAACACCACGTGCACAGCAATTCGTCAAAATTCTGCAAGCTGCCCGCACTAGAGCCGCAGAAGCAATTAAAAAGGCAAACGTCATCGCTAAGCGCAACACTGACCGCCACCGCCGCCCAGTCACATACGAGTCAGGGGATTACGTACTACTCGACACGCAAAATCTGTGACTGCCCGACGTACCAAAACTTCGACCGCGCTACTGTGACCCATTCCAAATCAACCACATGATCACGCCAGTAACCGCGCACCTACTATTACCGACCGGCTGGTACATCAGCCCTTCGTTCCACTTCAGCTTGCTTCGCCCATACATCCCAACCACAAGCCAACTGCCTCGCCACCGCCCGCCATCTATGACCCGCCCTACATCGGAGCCGATCATCGAGCCCGAAAAAATCCTGAGCCATCGGATTCGACACCCCACGGGAATCAAGAGGATCGAATTCCTCGTTCGCTGGAAGGACCGCACGCCAACTGACGATAGCTGAGTGCCCCTGGCCAACATTGAAAACCACCCTGCCCTGCAAGTGTACCTGAGGAGCCGGGGATTCCGCGATATACACGCACTCGCGTAGCGGAGGGGGCTTCTTGAGGGGGGGGGGGGGGGGGGGTAGTGTAAGGAATTTTCTTGGTATTCCTTACGGAGCCCGACTACATTGCGTACAGCAACAGCCGTTGTTCACCCGTTACTGCTAACGGGACTTCGCCAACTTCGCGCGCACTGTTTTGCCAAACCTCGCTCTTCTGGCCCGATCGTGTCGGCCTACGCTTCGGGACTAGCCCGAGCCTCGCTGCCAGCATAGTACTAGCTAGCTCGCACGCACCGCGTTTCCGTTTGCATGTTTGACGTATAAATGTTCGCTCATGCCTTCGCTCACATGGTTGTGAGAAGAAGTGAACGAGAATGAATTGACTACGAACGAAGTGAGTACAAATAGGAAACCCTAATTGGGTTGTACCCCCTATGGGATACCCCACTATAGCCTACACAAACAAGTAAGCTATAATGTTCTGACACACCCCCATAGGCAAAGTGGGGGAGAACAAGGGGTCACAAGACCAGTCAAGCACAGCAAAGCAAAGCTCAGGGTGGATCACAAAGTCACCACACATTCCGAGCACAAGTTCAAAGGCCAAAAGGCCAGTTCACATGCAAGATCATATATAGAGATATACAAGAGTCAAGCAAGCAAGAACAAGAGTATATATAGGTGAAGGTACAAGCAAGGTCAAGAAGTGAGCAAGTGAGGCAAGACAGGCACAAGACCCAGCTGCGTGCAGCAACGCTGATGATCACAAGGCGCAAGTGCCTTGGTGAAGACATCAGCAGTGTTGGCCTCAGAGGCCACGTACGCAAGTCGCAACTGTCCACGCTGCTGTAGCTCACGAGCAAGAAAGTAGCGGAGAGCAATGTGCTTTGTCCTGTGCTCCAGTCGCTGCTCTCGACACAAGGCCAGCATGGCCTTGCTGTCTACGTACAGGACTGGAGGAGAACGAGGCGGCTCTCCAAGGTCGGTCAGCAGGTAGGTGAGCCAGCGTAACTCCTGTGCAGCCATAGCCCCGGCGTAGATCTCAGCCTCACAACTGGAGCCGAGAACAGAAGACGAGCGAGTAGCCCGCCACGAAACAGAGCCGGAACCAAGGCCGAAGGAGTAACCCTGTGAAGACCGCTGCGTAGCCTGGTCGTCAGCCCAAGAAGCGTCCGCGTGCCCAGTGAGGACCACTGGACTGCGCCCTCCAAGCACTAGCCCCATGCCCGATGTACTGCACAAGTAGCGCAACACCCTCTTCGCTGCAGCCATGTGCTCTGGTCGGTGTCTCCCAGGAGCAACATAGCGTGCGAGAATGCTGAGAGGGTATGCAAGGTCAGGTCGTGTGCAGGTCATCAGGTACATGAGGCAGCCAACAAGCTCTGCATACGGGCCACTCGACTCTACGGACTCATCCGAAGGCAGAGCTGAGAGCGAGTGGCGAGTAGGCAGAGGAGTGGCCTGAGGCGAGGAGTACGTGAAGCCAAAGCGCTGAAGGACCTGCTGCACCATGTGTGACTGAGTCAGGGTAATGGTGCGGCGTGCTCTGTCCCGGGTGATCTGCAAGCCAAGGTAGCTGCGCAGTTCACCCAGGTCAGTGCACGTGTGTCTCTTCTGCAGCTCGGACTTCACGTAGGCGAGTCCAGCAGTGTCCGCTATGGCAAAGACCAAGTCGTCGACGTACACGAGGATGTAGAACGGCGGCAGAGAGGTGTCGGTGCGTAGAAACAGCGACGGGTCGGCAGTAGAAGGAGCAAACCCAAGTGCCGCAAGCGTAGTCCTCAGTGTGTCGTGCCACTCACGTGGCGCCTATCGGAGACCGTAGACTGGACGCCGGAGACTCCACTGGGTACCAGGAGGGAAAGACCCAGTGAAGCCAGGTGGGCGACGCAGCCAGATCTCCTCGTGCAGGCTGCCCTGCAAGAAAGCTGTGCTGAAGTCGAGAGAGTGCAGCTCGTAGTCGCGGTGAGCAGCAACGTGCAGCAGTACCCGAAGAGTGGTCATCTTCGGGGTGGGGGAGAAGGTCTGAAAGTAGTCAACTCCCTGTCGCTGACTGAAGCCACGAGCCACGTAACGCGCCTTGAAGACAGGCGGAGAGCCCGGCGGCCGCTTCACCCTGAAGATCCACATGCCACTGACGA